GGCGCCCCCCGCCGCTAGGCCCGAGCCGGGCGCTCCCTTTACCTTCTCCTCCCCGTCGTAGAGCCGCACGCCGCGCTGCTGGATCACCAGGGTCTCGTTGATCTCCAGCAGGCCGCTGGCCCACGCGAACCTGTCCATGGCCTCCCCACAGCCGCCTCCCCCAGCCCGGCCGCCCGCTGCTTCCTCCTTCTCCTCACCCAGCGCGCGGCGCCCTCTGCTGGCCGCCAGCCTGCCCTCGCGTGCCGCCCAGGCGCCCCCGCCCCCATCCGCCCGGCGTGTGGGCCTCCGAGATGGGCTCAGGAGGAGTCATCCCAAGCTGGATAGGCACATGCCTAATGCTGGGGGAGGTTATGACCCCCCCACACACTATGATATCCATGGGCGGATTGCTCATGCCATGCAGGAGACGAGACAGGATAGGGACATGCAGCAGTGTCACCCGAGGCTCAAGGAGCTGAGGCAGGCATGCCAGAAGACGAGGGAACCCAATGGTTTGTCTGATGATGCAGTGCTTGTACCTCACTGTCAAGAGCCCTATCCATACTTCAGGGGGACTGGAGGCAGCAGGCAGTGGAGACATCCCAGAGGATGAAGTGATGGACGAGGACATGGAGTTGGAGGAGGATGTGGGACATGCAACAGTCATCCAATGGTGTGGCAAGCCAGGACGTATTTTTTATTCCAGAGGGGTCTTGGCAATCTGAGCACCTTGGCTCTGGCACTCATGAAGCAGGAGAGGCAAGCTCTAATAAGCACACATTTTGCTTTGATGCTGCTAGGATGTTGAGGTCTCATTTACTTCATTATATGATATAGGAAGGATAAGGGATAAAAATTAATGATCGGACCTATGCAGGCTCACAGTGGAGATTCAAATGAAAAGTTTATGAATGTACATCAGGATGTCCTGGGAATCCTCCATAGAGAGCTTTCAAGTAGGTACTTGACAATCTTCTGCTGACCTGCCTTGTTTCTGCCATGCCACCTAGCAATTATTTCTGCAGGGACCAAAGTCACATGCAGGCAAACACCCTATGGACCCAGTTTGAAACCACAGGCATGCAGGAGATGCACCCTTGCATCTTGAATTACTTTCAGGAATGAGCAGCAGTGGGGAAAGTGCAGCAAGGCAGCCCCAACTCTCTTTGCTCCCCTGGCTGCATTGCTCTGCTTCTGCCCGTGCATTTTGGGGGTTTGTGATCACTTGTGCCCCCCTCCACTGTCTCAAAGCCATTATCTAAAGCATTGATGAAGATTTTGAACATAAATATATCTAGAACTGATCCCTGCAGGACACCACTCATTATGCCCTTCCAACATGACTGTAAACTACTGATAACTACAGCCTGGGCACTATTTTCTGAACAGTTTTGCACTCACCTTACTGTAGCTCCATCTAGGTTACATTGGTATCAAAAACTTTACTAAAGCCAAGATATGCCATGTAAACCACTTCTCTCCCTTCCCGCGCCCCCATCCACAAGGCTTGTTACCTTGCCTGTCCTAAACACTTGGGACTAGGGGCCAGGAAGGTTGGGAGGGGGGGACTAACAAGAGTCTTTTAAATACTCAAATTGTGTTATGCACTCCCTCAAACTCTGCATGTTGGCTATTTTACAGCATTCTGTCTCCTGTCCGTATAGCAGTACAGATATCGAGAGGGACTGCGAGAGTCTAGCAATGAGTGCCAATGAATTGGGACAGCTGTACCTTTAAGAACACAGTAGGGAAGCTGCCCTGCACTCCTAAACAGCACCCAGAGAGTGGTAATAAACTCCCTTTCTGCCCCCCACCTGTGTATTTGTACACTCAGCAGGTGGCTCATTCCACTGGGGTAACTGTTATCCCCACTGTCCCTCTCTGTGTGCTTCCGGGCTTACCCACCCATAGACCATGATTGATTTGGAGATGCCCCTTTGCCCCACACCCCAGTTTCCTCCTAGGCACCCATGCCACTGGCGGTGGGAAGAGACTTCCTGTGCTACCCCATCCCTAGGCCAATCAGGGCTTGGAGGCAGGGGATCATGCAAAGTCTCCTCCTGCCCTGCCAGGAGTGTGGGGTGGCACTTAGAAGTGCTGCATGCTCCTGGCAGGGCAGAGGAAACTTCATGCTTCTCGCCACCCCCAGGCCCTAGTTGGCTTGGGGGCAGGGGCGTGGTAGTGCCTCCGTGGGCTGGATCAATTCACTTAGTGGGCCAAATCTGGCCCATGGAGGCCCTTTGCACACCCCTGATCTAGATGATGTTTGGTCCCACCATGAGGGCAGGGGACTGGACTTGATCTCTCAAGGTCCCTTCCAGTTCTAGTATTCTATTAATATAGTCCATAACTTGTCAAAAGATTTTTAATTAAACCTTTAAAATATTTAAAGTAGACCATTATATGTCCAAGGTGATTGACTGGAACTCAGAACTCCTGTGTTCCACTCCTGGTTTGCTACTGCCCTGTTGTGTGACCTTGGGCAAGTCACTCTGCTTTGCACCTCAGTTTCCCCAGGTGAGAATGGGGATAATGGGATTTACTTTCTCATGCAAAGCACTTAGAGATCCATGGTCAAGGAGTGCTATATCAAAGCTACATAAGTCAGCTAACTTCTAGTGAAGTCTCCTCAGTCTCTTTATAGTTTACACACTCAAAACTCCAGTCATCTGAAGAAGTGGGCTGTATCCACAAAATTTCATCATGCCATCTACATGTTTTGTAAGTCTTTAAAGTGCTACCAGACGATTTGTTGTTTTTTAAATTTTCCCTGATGTGGTTTTTTCTGTAGTTCTGCTTTCCCAGAAGCCACTGGAATTGCGAGCACTGTTTGCACTACGCGCGTGAAATGGGCATATCACTGAGCAGAGCCTAGGCTGGCACCTCCCAGCGCTAACCACCCCGACTCACTGCAGTTGGTTTTAATTCCTTTCCGCAGCAGCCCGCTGGCCGTGCGACTGCCCATGCGCGCTGCGTCAAGCTCCAGGAGAAGCCCCATTGGCCAGTTCAAGTCCCG